GCTGTAAATACAAAATAACTACTATGACAAATCAGTTCTGGTCCCGTTTGCAACAACCTTCTTGTGCTAAACATTTCTAAATCCCAAATTTCATTTTAATACCAAAAACCGTCTGAAAAAACAACAACAAAGCAGAAGAGTCTGAAAAAAGAGCTCATCATTTCTGGCTTTGGGCCCTTCTTGACGGGTCAGGATTTGATTACCTGAGCTGTGTTTGCTGTCTGCTGTGAAATGGATGGATTTAAATTAGAAAAATATTGAATAGCTGAGTTGAATCCATCTTTCTTTGGGATTTCAGTTTCGTGTGTGTGTGTGTGTCTTCGTTTCGATTGAGCGTGATGTGCCGCTGTTAGACTCGATACCAACAACCTCAGTTTACCTCACCTGAACCACCTGATATGACAGTAACAACATGAAGAAGTGCTTGGATTATATTCCCATAATGTTAAATGAAAGCTTGACGAGCTAATCTGAATAAATAACACACAGGAGAACATTCAAACGCACAGACTCTGCGTGGTGCACGGATTTAGGGTTGTAACTGTCCCACTGAAAGTTGTACTTTCTCCTCCGGCACCGACTCTCTGTCTGTCTGCATTTTGGACACAATGCCGCTCGCAGACAGAGCGTCTGAATGCTTATTCTAATGTACATTATGCTGTCGAGGATTAAGATGTGGCCCGCTGACTCGACTTTGGAGCCCCGAGGATTTGTGTGACAATAAAAACTTCACAAAACTCCAAGAGGATAAATAATCCCTGTCAGCTGTACACACTGAGGAGCGAAGAGGAGAGGAGACAGGTTTAAACTGCAGACACCAGAGAGCGTATCGCAGTGAGGAATAAAGCTTCGGGAAGTTAACCCTAACCCTGCATTTAAAGCTCCTGTCAGGACGTTTTTTGACATATTGATGCCTTTTTATGCAATTCAGAAGCAAACGAAACCATCAGCAACAAGAGAGATGGATTTTATATTGGACTTTTCAAATGTCTGGAACTGGTGCGAGGAGGTAGGAGTCAAAAATAACCCAGTTTTTACAATGTACTCATGACGTATTCACAATAATGATATAATAGACTGTCTAAAGTTATTAAAGTTCTGCTCTGTCCACAAGGGGCAGCAAACTGGACTGGAACTGTTCCTCACAGGATCTTAATTTAGAGTTTTAAACTTACATAACAGGTTGTACCCTTACTGTTTGCATGAATTAGCGTAACGTGGGATTTCCATCGCAACCGGAACGGCGGCAATTTTCGCCATATGTCAATTCCTACCCAATCCGTTTGTGAGACGAATTTTGTGGCGGATTACGGACAGTGGGAATCTGGAGAACTGACGAGAACCCGCAGATTAATGTGCAATCCTGCGATAACAAGTTGTCTCTTAACCACATAGGCTAACCATATAAGCAGTAGATTGTGTCCTTCTAGAGGGCTCCATAATCTCTGCTGGAGAAGGCGTTATTTATGACCAATACTGCAGCCCGTCACCAGAGGGTGCTGTTCTTCAGTGAGTTTTAAGCTGATATTAGCATCCATGTCGGGAAAAGTAAAATTAAATATTTCCCTTGTTATATGAGCGATAACGTAAACCTGTTAGTGCAGCTTTAGAGGGCAAGAACAAATCAGTATTACAGCATGAAATGAAAAATTACTGTAGTACTCCTGACTATAACTTCAAATACACATTTAATCTGATAATTATGCAACACTATACGAGTTGCATATAATATTATGTAGCAGTTAATGAAGAAAAATCAGTCTGAGACTTTATTTTCTGTCTGTTCAGTGAAGATCCTCGCTGAGGTGCAGCATTGTTTATTCAGGCTTTTACTCTGACAAAGTTAAAGTGAGTTTATCTTAAATTATAGATCTAGTTTTGCGCTGTGGTTGTATCTATAATTCTACAATATTATGGTCTGTATTTTTTTGTCAGCTGTCAAAGAAAGCCTGATCCTGTGTATTATTTTCAGACCCATTGTTTCGGCGTGGGCTTTAGCTGAGGCCCCTCTTCATGCAGCGTCTGTGACAGCACAGGCACTTCCTTCTCCTCAAAACACTATTTATCCACTGGGTTTTGGATGTCCAAGGCCACTGTCAAAAACACAAAACGCCTCTGCTTACTCCACTTACATTTCTGATGTCTGAAGCCCCTGAATGTGCTGCTGTCACTGGCAATGTATTTGTCTGCTCATTCGTGGAAAACAAAGCCAATGCTAAAAATTCCCGTTGTTCGAACCTCCAGTGGGCAGCTGCATGACATTTTATTTGCATTATTCTTTTTGAATTATAGGAAACCAAAACCAGGGTGGTTGTAGAGCTGGAATTTTCTGTTTTTCTAATGTTTGTTCAAACCATGTTGGGTGAGGAGTAGTTCAGAGCTCATAAATGTTTGTAACGTACTTAAACACCTAAAATCCTATGGCCAAAGGAGACATATTGTACATTTAGTTTTTTATTAATCATCATTTGAGCAAACCTGTTTTGAGTTCTTATCAACTTGAATTTGATGGGAAATGAAATTAAACACTGTAATTTCATAGTCACACAGTTTCAATAAATCCATCAACTGTGCAAGTTTAGGTTGTCAGCACTAATGTGTTAACTGTAATACAATGAAGGTCTCAGATTACCATGTTCATTTTTCTTTGTAACAAGTGCCTTAATTGTACCTCCAGACACACAGGGGTTCAGCCGCCATGCAGTCCCGAGTAAACACACGACTGCTCTTGTGAATGGCATATTTTACATTTTAAAAATTCTCACATTTGCAGGACCTTAAAGGGATATTCCGGCTTAAACACACCATAACACCAAGTTAGACACCCCCTGATGAATGTTGTCGACTGCTTGCTTCTCTAGTTACACCAACTTTAGTAACGACCGCAGGATAGCAATACAGAGAGCCACGCCCTCAACCAAAACACCACTCTATAGCCACAAATAATGCTCAGAACAGCACCTAACTTTATCAACAGGACATATAGGGTCCCAGCCATAGAACTAGCCACCAAACATCTTTTTAACTTTGACTAATTTCTTTAGCAAAGAGACTAAACACAACTCACCTACTCTCTTCCAGCAGCCGCTTGTTTGTGCGGAGACCTCAGGACAGAACAAATACTGCTGCATTAACCAGGAATCCCTGGAAATAAGTGAAAAATTAGGAAATTTGGTATTTTTGCGCGTGTATTCCTGCATATTTTAAGTGTAACAAGATTATCCTCTCACATATATAAAAACACACTATGTAATAAAAGCTTTCTACTCTAAGTCATGTTTTCAGGCTACACTTTCATAGCGGTGCAGTATTTCATTAAGTAACAATTTTAGTAACCTAGATAATAAACTACACAACGCTGCATACAATTAATTTTCAAATCAAGACACTTGTAAGGTTTCAATTTGATTATGAACTCAAAATCTGCCTTGTGGTGCTAAATAATGCCATTTTAAATATGCAAGTACCGATGCGATTAATCGCGATTAAATATTGAATCTTAAGATTAATCGCAGTCTGAAAGAAATGAATCATACATCCTTTAAATTTGAGAATCTTTAGCCCTTTAATGCCTAAAATCACAAATTATGGCCAGAAAATTCAATTTTTTTGGAGCTGAAATGTTTACTTCACTTAAGACTGAAACCCCCAAAAATCAAAACGTCCTTAAAGTTTAACAAATATATTTATCTATCTTGTTTTATACATTAGATGTTTTTTGAAACTGATAAACTACAGGGGGACATTTTGATCATTTATCGGACTGTATTAAGATGTTTTTTTTTTTAGTAATTTGTTGATCATATTGATTTGATAGAAGTATTACAAAAGTATGTATTAAATATGAAACAAAAGGCAATAAAGGGTCACACTCAGGTTGTAAATTCTGAGGGAATAATATATTAAAATCTAATAAATTTTGTATAAAAAAATATACCGCTCTGGATCAGACTCATCTAATAATTTTGATATGAAGTGTAAATTTCAGGGTCAACCTTAAAGTTAAAGTCATTGTTATAGTTAAATCTGTCACAGTTAAATCTGAGGGATAAATTTTAATCCCACATTTCTCAACAATCCAAATCAAAGTGTTTCTCTCTGGAAGGATATTAATTAATTTTAGGTTGCTGGATTCCTGTGTGTTTGATTTGGGTTTACCTTCTGTTTTGTTTGACTTTTCCGCAGACAAAGTGGGCTTAAAGTAAAAATCCGCCATAAACCTCCCAAACTTTCCGATATGATCCTCGTGTGAAGCTGCAGCTGACGTCTCTGCTGTCTCCTCTCCTCCTCCACCTGCCTCGTCTCCTCCTGCTTAAATAAGCCACTTCCTTCATTTCCCAGGAGGACTTTTAAAACCTCTAAAGGAAGGGGTGTGAACTTGTTGCTTTCAATAAACGAAGCATGAATGGGCTCATAAATAGCTTGAATGTGGAACCATTGAACCGGGAGTTATGTGTTTAGTTGGAGAGAGGGAAAGCAACAGTGCTACAGGAGTGCAGTCTTTGAGAGTGAGCCGATAAATCATGACTGGGTGTGTTACCAGTGTGATGCTAGCCCGCTGTCCTCAAATCAATCTGTGTACAAAAACAGAAAGAAAATTGGTATTTCACTCCACAGACAACCTCGTCTTCACACAAAACACTCCATCAAAACTGTACTGGCCCTGTCAGGCAGCTGACGCAAAGAGTCTCAGCATGCAAAGCAATTGTAGTTGTAATTTTTTTAACTGACACTTAGCGCCCTTAGTGTGGAGAAAGAGAGTTAAAGGAGCATCTTTTTTTGTGGTTTATATACAAAAAAGCTTTTAAAATCAGTCAATAGCTATTAGTTACTGATGACATTTGGGAATATAACGATATCGCTGTGTTTGGTTATGTCTGTTTAGTCAATATTTTAACATTTTTGAGCAACCCGCTCCTTCTGACTCTTTCTGAACCTGATTGTTTGTGAGGCGGACGCTGCTCCCCGTGCTGTGAGGCACGCTCCACGTCCTTGAATAACGTTCACAAGCCCAAACAAAGTTGGCGTGCTACAATATCGGACATTAGAAACCAACCAGAAAGTTCGGAAAATTGTCTGAATCCTCCTTTGGCCACGACTGCCGACACAAGCAAGAAAACAAAGTAAATACCGGAGACTCTGGAGGAATAACGGGCGCTTAAAACGGAGGTAGACCGGACAAGAGCTAAAAAGCCGGGTCAACATAAACGATGGGGGACACTTCTGGATCTTGGTGACCCTGTAACCTTTCTGCTGGACCTACAATGAGGCGCAGTCAGGTGCAAAGACAGTGTGTTACTATCATGAGAAAGCAGAAAGTGTTTGGTCCCTGGTACATTCAGGAGGCAGATTGAAGAGATAGATACAACACTTGTGATTTAGCTGAAACACTGAAATTGAGATTTTGGACTGGGACAACAAGTTTGCAAACCATTCGTCCCCTCATCTCTTTGCATCAAAAAACAGCTCTTGGTACGGGGCTGATCCAGGGATACCAAAAGATGAGGACACCCTCACTGCTGTCTCCTCTCAGACTCGCTTCATCTCAGCCCTGCACTGCACAACAACTACAACCTGAGACACCACCAATCATGTATGCTCTCTCAAATACATGCAGAAACAGACACACGCCCATGCACATGCTCGTGCACAGCTAAGGGTTACTTTTGCAAAAGCCTTAAAACCATTGTGCCTTTCGGTACAAAACACAATATGATTCAGGAGCAAATGTAAGTAAAGAACAGCGACTTTACTTCCAATAAGTATCATCCGACTGTTTTCTGTTTCAGAGTCGAAAGAGTTAAAATTCTGTTTGAATAATCCAGTAAAAGCATTTGAATACAAAAAAAGCTTCTCTTGCAGAAAACCTATACTTCTTATTATCAAACCCACATTTTGCTTTACTTCCATATTTTAATATTACATAAATACATCTCCAGAAAACTAAAGCCTCCTTGTGTTCATGAATAGTACATAAGAGCTTCAGTATTTAATTTTAATTGAATCGCGGGGGTGGGCTGTCTGAGTCAGCACATTATTTAAGTGAAGGGAAGACTGAGCAGAGTGTGCTGGTAGCTGCATTTCCACTTCACTGCAGCTCCAGTTGTTACAGCACATTAAACCATGGATTTCCTGTCACTCTTTCTGCCTACCTGTGTTACATCCCCGCCACTTAGGGTTCCAGAGACCTCCAGTCTCTCCCAGCATGCACTGCAGCCGAGGCCGGGAGAAGACAGGGAGACTAAAGCATTAGAGGAAATTTGAAGCCTGAATCCACTTTGACTTGTCAGAGGAAACAGGGACTAAATGGACTGAATATTGCAGAAAAGATGGATTTGTGGCTTAAATAGGGACTGAAACTTTTAAAGCTGTCAATCATGTTATAAATATGAAGGTGTACCACTTCTGAATACAGCATCTGCAATAATTATTGTTGAGTATCTGTCACATTTCTATTTCAGGACTCCATATGTTGGTGAGCGATCTGCTTAAACAGCTGGACGTAACAGCTGGAAGCAAAGCCACTACTTAAGATACGCTTAACTCTGCAAGACGAAATGCCCACAAATGTCAACACTTGGGTCCTGTACAGTGACTTTTGTTTGATTGATTGATTTATTCTTTTGTATTCTTCACAACTGTTTCATCACACTGTAATTCTTCTGGATTGTCGTCTATTCGTGTTGGATTGAATCTTCTTATGCGTGACAATTGCTTGGATTCATTCTACGCTAACCAAAAATATTGCAACAGCTTTGTCCTTGTAAGTTTAGTTCCTACCCAAGGTTTGAAACTGCACAACTTAGCCTAACCACGAATTTCCACCACATCCGAAACGGCGTGATACCGAGTTGTCTCTATAAAGACAGACACATAGACATATAAGCAGTAGATTGTGTCCTTTCAGAGGAGGAAATCTACTTCTAGACTTCTAGAATCAGCATCTCCTCATCCATGGTATCATCGGGGTGAAATGACGTCTATAAACCTTTCACTTGTTCGTCTCCGCCCATTTGCATGGTCCTTTCCAGCTCAGGTTAATCTGTTTTGAATTTATCCGGCATGCTCTGGCGTCGGGAGGAAATAGAACTCTTGTGATCAGCTGCGGAGACCGTTGATCTGCAGCAAAACAGAAAGAAGCCGATGGAAATTGACACATTAACTTAAATGGTTACGATCAGCGACAATCGGTGTATATGGCCTTTTCGTATATAACTTAACATATCTGATTTTTACATGTAACTATGAACTGTGCAATTCTGATTTGTTCTAATCCGACCCAGGCCTCTTTTGTATGTGGATATAAATCAGACATGTATCCGATGTGACTGCAGTGTGGACGCTCAGGTCGCGTTCATCCGACCTATACCTCATCAATATGCAAAAAACGTCACCATTGTTCGATAACACAAACAGGCGCGGAAAGCAATTTTTGCTTCGTGCGCATGCGGGTCACTTCACGGACGCATTCCGTTCACATTAGATGCCACATTCGTTGTTGTAATGTAAACGACTGCACAAAAAGATCGGATTTAACAAAAAATCAGAACTGTGCATCAGAACCTGCAGCAGTAGCCGTCTATTGCTCAGTGGGAGTCATGTTAAGAAAGTCAGTGTCATATAAGCAGCGTCACATACTTAAAATCAGCCTAACATGAGTAATGAAGATACAGCTTTGAAAGCAGTTTAATGCACACAAGTGAAACTATGGTCCCCGTGAAGTAATGAATGAATGAGTGATTAGCCTCTTTGCATATTTAACCGCACTGTCGTATTTCTTGATCTTGGTTAAGCTAAGGAGGCGTGCAGACGAGTTTGCTTTGGCTGTAAAAATGCTGCAACACATGGCAAGAAGAAAAACCCTGACATTTGTCATGTCATTATTACATCCAATCTGTTCTTGTCATACAAAGAGAAAGGCCAGTGTTTGTGGAATAAAGGCTTTTTGCAGCTATTCCAGTCTCATCTCTCTAATGCCCCGTGTTTTCTTTCTTATTAATCATTCACAACGCTGAAATGAATAGAAATGCGCCATGTTGTATTGATCCCCGGGACTTAGGGCTTCTTTTTCTGCAAACATTGTTTGGTGTTTGTGCTGGATGAATAATTGTCATGTCGGACAAGGTGTCAGCAATGTCACGGTGAAATGACAGGGAGCGAAAAGAAAAAGTGCTTGAAGGCTTGATATCAGCCATCAGGGAAATGTAAAAAAAAAAAAAAAGAGAGAAGTATGCTCATGCCATATAACAACCAATATGCCCTCAAAGTCCTTTGCTGTCAGCAAGTACACACGAGTAGTCACAAACACAGAGCCAGGTTGTTTTTCTTTCAATGAACATCTCAGGTACAGTAATGCAGCAGACCAACCAGGATGTATTGAAGCTGACAGGTTGTCTGGAAGCTATTCTCAAATTTATTTCCATGACAAGCAGTTATTTCAAACACATCATGTGCCATTGCTTCTGTCAGCACCACATGTTATACCAGGGAAAGCAATCTCACTGACAGCATGTATTGATACAAACACGGTGTCCTGGCGATAGGTATTAATCATGCTTTGGATGATCAGCCTCCAGGTTTTTTGCTTTGGGTAAGAAATGGACGCTCTGTTGTGTAATCTGTCACCGGCTCGACTTAAAAACGACACAAGAAAAAGCAAAAAGAAGAATCATCAACGTGAAGATTAAACATTGTTTTAGTGGGACATAACACGAGTTTAACCCGCCTTACATCATTTGTGTGTTACTTTAAAGCAACGCCGCTAATGATATCTTGTAGAGGGATACTGGCGTAGAGAGATCAAAGCAAGTCGGATTGATCTTGTGTTGTTGGAGCCACTAAATTTCGCATTTTGATGTCGTCCAAAATATTGGGATCGCATTGCCTTCGAATTCGAGTGTGCCATTTATATCGCTTTGATCCTGGAACACGATCAGAAGTATCATTATACTTATAAGACATGAAAGCTGCTGGAGAAGGCTGGTTTTAGTTCAGCTTTATATTTCCTTAAAGATTTTAGTTATAAATTATGTCTCTGTTCACTATATGGGTTTATACATAATTCAGATCTGCTTTAATTGAAGTTCTGGCATCAACTGTCGAGAGCATTAATCTCTGAAGTCTCTGGAAACCTAAACCCAGCAAGTATGCTGATCAGGGTAGTTTAAAGGCTGTATTAACCTGATAGGAAGTGTCTAAAAGTATCTATGGATAACGGTGCAAACCAATCAGAACAATTGTGATCATATATTAGGATTACAGTTATTCAAAGATGCACCGATTTTTCACATCTTGTACTTTTTGTTTGATTTTAGCTATTTTGGCACCACGAGTTAGGATATGGTTTAAGCCTAAAACCTACAGGATGTGTGCTGGGTGCAAAAAAACTGGCTAGAAGTGCTGGGCTCTGATTGGTTATTCCTTATGGCTGTGAAATGTCATCGTCTGTCAGGTCAGGGTTACGATTAAGATTCAGTTCGATGATGTTCTGTAATGTTCTGTTCGATGTACAGAGCCGATGATGTTTCCAGCTTTTCCAGCCAATCAGAGGCGAATGAGGCGGGACTTTCCCCTACTATCCTTCAAAAAAAAAAAAAAATCCCGTGCTGGGCACATTTTGTCAACGTTGCATGCTACGGTGCAAATATGTTCCCATTCTAATCAATGCAGCATGGCACACAGAGAGCATTGCAGTGCGTCTTGCACCGTCCCAGAAGCGTCTCTACTTGCTACTTAGCTAAAGGTACCACGGCGAGACTATTTTCGAAAGAGCACAGAGAGGATCGTCCAAGACAGGATGTCACGGACTGGAGAGAACTTTGGCTGAATTTTGCGCCCAACACATACGGGTTTTCAGCATTACACTGTCCTGTAAACTCATAAGAGGTTTGGCGTCACTGAATGGGAACGCCACTGCACTCGAACCATGAACCACTGGAAATACGGCGCTTAGTTACATTTGTACGACCCAAGAAAGACTCTTATAACACAGATCTTTCGTGTTGCAGTATGGCCAGTCCAAAACTTGGGAAGGGGAGTCCATATGTTCATCCATCAGTGTTCGAATTTCACTTGTGAATGGGTGAATGTGAGGAGTAATGTAAAACACTGCTGTATGAGTATCATCCATTCACCATTCATTATAGCTTTACAAGCAACAGCAGAAAGGGCCTCTGAGCTGATATTGGATATGTACGAGGACTGCTTATTCTAATTTGGAAAGAGAACTTTTTGAAACTCATTATTTAGAGTCTAATTGGAATTAAAAGCTTTTGAATTGGCAGCAAAGGGCTCATTTCGAGGAACATTTTAAGTCCTGAATACCTCCTCCATACGCTCCATCCTCGAAAAGCTTGCTCTCATTTAGATTAATACATGTTTTGTTGTAAATTTGTCCAGAGCGGTTGTGTTTAAATGAAGGCTGTAGGTGGAATAAACCAGATTAAACACCTGGATAATTGGTTTTCGCTGCTATGACAAAAGAAAGCCTCTGTGCCCCCCCTCGAGGTACCGACCACTGACTTTTATGAGCAAAACAAATTGGTATCACATCTTCCACCTGGCAGGACATCTTCACACCTGGACATAGGTGGCCTTTTTGACACTAATAGGAGTCCAGGAGGGAAGGAGAAGGTGAAATCCAGCTGAAAACAAGCCAGTGGCAGACAGCTGAGGCCTATTTGGCACTGATCTCCTGACTGACTCACTGAGAAGTTCACAGATGGCTCACTTATTCAAGGCTTGGGGTGCAAGGTAAACAAAGTACCGTGGATGTTACTAATCTGACCCTGGTGGTATACAGTAGAGGCCTGTCAGAGAGGTGCGATTCGCTGTACGAGAAAATAGACTGTCCTTTTTCTTTTTGTCTTTCACACTTTAACGAACTCTTCTGATTCCCGTCATTATTTCTGCTAATTGAATTCCTTGTGTTCGGTCAGGGTTTGCTATTTTTATCTCTCGCCCGGCGTATAGGGTGAGAGTGTGGAGCTTATTAAAATGCAACTTTCCCTTCGAACCATTTGCATCTAATTTTGTACAATTTTTGCAAAATATTCATACAGCACAGCATTCTATGGCCTCCTGTCTCATTTGTATTCCAGTGATGTACGCCGCTAAATAGCCGTGGCTTGATAGACTGATTCACAATATAATGTCAATCAAACATTCTGGACACTACCACCAACAGGCACCAAAGGTATCGGGTCATGTTTTATTCATACTGCTTTAAAATTTTCATTTTCTTCTGACTTCCTGCAGTAAAAAAAAAAAAGTACAGGAGTGGTTTGGGGAGCAAAATAAATGTATAAAAGGCGTTCATGACAAAGCAGCTGTAAGCTCGATATGTTTATTCAGTTCTTATCTGTTTGATTAGATTCATTAGAATAATTAAACAATCCGTCTACAGAGCATGGTGCTCCGAATAGCAAGAGGATGAACCTCTTCCAAGTGCTTAAAAGATTGACTGCCGAGTCAAGTCAGTTTCCAGGGTAAACGAGGACGTATTTGCAATGTCATAATGATTTCCTTGTCGATTGTGCACCGAATCCACAAAGATATCATGTACGGTAAGTACCAGAAACTCGTGTCTTAAATACAGCATCAGATTCAAGCCGGGTTTTCTTTTCAGCCAGTATGACGGAGAATAAATAGGCCACCTTGTACGCTTTGTAGAAAAAAAACGAGCTCTCGTAATTACACAACAAAGACCAAGGACAGATTATGCTCATGGCTCATTACAACTTTCAAGTGTGCCTCTAGGACATTAAAAATATTTCTTTTAAGAAGCACGGGAACTCGGATCCCTAATTATTGTGTAAGAAAATATCAAATAGAGCGATACTGCTGCTCTTTTTGATGTTTCTTTGGACATATTTGGGGCGACAGGAACCTCATTATGAGCTTGTGCTGCCTGGACGGCTTGAAATCAACCTTTGTGGCGTTGTCATGACAGGTAAGACAAAAGTAGTGGATGGAAGTGATCACTGAATGGGTGGATGGACAAAAACATCGATTTTAAGGGTTACTGTCACATTTTTATCAGAATCAACTTTGAGAAATCAGGCAGAAATTTGGATTTCGATGCATCGTCAACTTGGACCAACGCTGGATCCTTCCTATGTGGACCCGGGTCAAATATTATGACTTACATGAATTCAGCTTGTCTGTGCTGTCAGAGGTCACTTCCTCAACCAAGACTTCCTGGACAAAAAAGTACAGAAAACAAAGTAAATACCGGAGACTCTGGAGGAATAACGGGCGCTTAAAACGGAGGTAGACCGGACAAGAGCTAAAAAGCCGGGTCAACATAAACGATGGGGGACGCTTGGGGATCTTGGTGACCCTGTAACCTTTCTGCTGGACAGGTAAACCGCTTTAACAAAGTAAGACAAGTGTCTGTAACAGAAGTGTTTCTTGTCAAACGGACCTGCTGTAGCGTGTTGTAGCGCCATCGCTAAACTGTCCTCCCTCGGGTCCTGGACTATGTCACTTTATCCTCGTTGTAGAAGTCCTGCAAACATTGTGTTTGCTGGTAGTCTGTTGGCATCTACAGTAGCACCAATGCTTTTGACTTTCACCTTGACTGGGCCCCATTTGTAATGATCTGAAGTATTTATCTGCATTATATCTGAATTTAATTGGAACGATACGAGCGAGCAGGAGCATCTGTTTGTGGGCGGGGCTTGAGGGGAGAGGAGGAGCTGAGGGGAAAACTGGTTGGGAGGGGTAGAGTTTACATTCAAGATTCCTCCCCCAAAAACTGGAACTTCCTCAGATCCTGACTACCCCACCTTTAAGTAAGACCTGTGCTGTCTGCCTACAAGCCAGAAACAACCTGCTAGCTTGTACTCATCAGTGTGTCGCCTCCAGCTAAGACCCACCCACCAATGAAAACTCACACTACAGTCAATAATAAACCCATTGAGAAGAAAACTGCAAAAGAGGCGTTATGTTGGTTAATTTTCCATGTTAGTGAAAGTTTTTGGTATCTACTAACTCAGTTATTTGGTTCCTATTTGGTAGTTCTAACTACTCAACAGGAAACTCTGTACGCTAACCTTTAACTCAGATGGTGCTATGTCCACTGCCCACCTCGCCTAAATATGGGGTTGTTCCTGTCTCTAAAGTCAGGTTACATTTTGAGTTTTAAGACGACCGAAAAAATAATTTTAAAATATTCACCTTTCGCCTTTATAGCTGGAGCTCAGAGCCAGCGGCATTGTCTCGGAAACAGATAGCAGGGTCTGTACTTCCAGACAGAAGAATTCAAACTGGCTTTTTTGTGTTGTGGTTTCAGGGCATCCTTCCTACTCAGCACACCTGGCTGTCTCCAACGCTGCTCACTCACATCACTAAGACAGCCGAAATGCCAAACGCATTTACGGTGGACGGTTTAAATTTGAGTTTGGACTGGAATATTTCATGAAAACAAAAGCTTCAGTGTGATATGTGGCTGTTATGGCAGCGAGTCTTAAAGGTACAGCGCGTGGTATTTAAAGGGATACAGCAGAGAAGGCGCTAAAGTGGAGATATATAAGCAAAACAAAAATATGTGTAGTTAGACAAACTTTTTGACCACAAAGGTCACCACAGCTCCAAACAGGAGGGGTTCACCATTCAATCGAGACAAATAAAATCTCATTATCACACAGTGTACCTTTAAGAAGCCAACAAAGACACAACTTCTTTGTAACTTGTCATTATTTTAGACTCACTGTGTGTGATTTGCAGAGTTTATACTAATTAGGTGGAGGATGATTCAGAAACACGTCAAAGTAAAGTTAACTTTACATACGTGCGGTGAGACAAAATACCTTTTCAGGCTTAAATCTGTGAGTCATACTTTGAAAACTCTTTCACAAAGAAGGTTGTTAGAAAACTGAGGGAAGAACTCTGACACCTGACTTCATCCTATGTCTCTGAACACGTTAATTGTTCATCCCACAATAGATCGTTCTCCGTCACAGCGTTAGCATATTTATATAATGGGTTTGATGGGAAATGAGCCTCTAGAAGAAAATTAGCAGATTTGAAGGTAACATGGATAATTACATGTTTGGGAGGTAATGTGCTTGAGTACTAATGTGGCATTTAAATAGACTTTTTTCTCTCATTACAGTGGGTGTGTTGCTCATTATCACACTCAGAGAGAGAGAGAGAGATATAAGATGAAGATGTAGCCGGCTGATGCCAAGGTATAATCTTGATTTTAAAGAAGTCGTGACTCTTTAAGATCCAAAGATAACATCAGAAATACAAAACTGTTTTCTTTTTACTAAAATATATGTTCTGACTTTTAATTTGATGCCAGTAACAGGTTTAAAAACAGCTCACAGTTGTGTCGAATCACCTCCTCAGTTAAAGGTGGCGTAGGCGGGAATCTGTTGAAAAAGCGTCTTTTTTTGTGATGTATTTACAAAAAAAGCTTTTAATATCAGTCAGTAGTTATTAGTTATTGATGACATTTGTTAATGTAACAATATCACTGATTGGTTGTGAGGTGGACGCTGCTCTCCCGTGTCGTTTAGCGTGCAACAATATCGGACAGTAGAAACCAACCAGAAAGTTCGGAAAATTTTCTGAATCCTCCTTTGGCCACGACTGCCGACACAAGCAAGAAAACAAAGTAAATACCGGAGACTCTGGAGGAAGAAATGGAACGATACGAGCGAGCAGGAGCGTCTGTTTGTGGGCGGGGCTTGCTGGAGCAGAGGAGGGGAGAGAAGGAGCTGAGGGGAAAACTGGTTGGGAGGGGTAGAGTTTACATTCAAGATTTCTCTCAAAAACTGGCACTTCCTCAGATCCTGACTACCCCACCTTTAACAGGTCAGGTGTTTTATGGTACACCAGATCGACAAATCATGACCGAGACCACTTTAGCTTGAAGACTCATGCTGTGATGATCATAAAAAAATGTGTTTTCTTTTCATTTTTGTTGCATTGGGGGTGATTTTGAGGCTATGCGGTGGTTTCCACTACAGAGAGATGTCTTTTTTTAATGCAGTGTCAGCTGAGGGGCTAAACCATACGGTATCAGTTTCATCCTGGTCTTATTTAAACCAGATTTCTCCAGATTCTTTAATCTTTTAGTGGAACAAAAAAATTCAAAAAATTCTTAAAAACATTCACATTTTTGTTTACGCAGTCTCTCACAGATCGGTGAAACTCTTCCCATCTTTACTTCTTTTTATACTGTCATGTTACTTACCTGTTTCAGATCAGCGCCATCACATTTGAGATGATCGTTTAGGTTATCTTACAGCAGTACTCAAAGGTTAAGTTGTCTCGTTTCTGTACTATGTTGCTGGCATCAAATCTGATTTTGATAAACTCTCAAACTCTGTAATATTTATGTGTCTAAAGGTTTTTCCCAAAACGTCTTTAAAGCTGCAAGAAATCAGCAGCATTTTGCCTCCGGAAATTCAACATATGTCTCGGTGAATCTCCGCTGCTGGAGGGAGAATTAAGGGTCGGTTTCAGGGTCGAGATGTTCAAAAGTGAGCAGATTGAATGCCAACAAGCTGCCCTCACCCTCCAGCTGTGAACCATTTCCCCACAGTGGCCATATTAAAGTACGCCACACTGTAGGTGGGAGTAAAACAGGAGGATGTACAGGCCCACTATCACTTATGCTGGTGCACCAGGATGCATATCAGAATGAATCGGAAGATATAGTTTGATCTTGGGTTGAGACTAAATATGGTTACACTGATGCTTGACAGCACTAGATTTGCATGTAGGTATACTAAGGCAGTGGTTCTCAACTATTGGGTCCCGACCCAAAAGTGGGTCGAGGCCACGTTCTGGATGGGTCGCGAACAGCTGGTCAAAAAAGTCAATATTTAATATGCATCTGATGTTTGACATGTCTTTTATTTTGAAAAATAGCTTATTTTGAAAGGCACGCGTTATGTTTAGGTCATACTCTGTCTCTTATTAATGTGGCCTGAATACAGTAAAAATACATATATATTTTTCTTATTCCCTTTTGTCCATGCCTCTTGTATGGTCCTCCTCAGGTTCTTCTGAATATGTTCTAAATGCTGGTGTTGTGTCATTCGCGGACGATTCGTTCAAAAGAACCGAATCTTTTAAGTGAACGTACTGAATTGAATCACTCCCTCGAGTGAGTCGTTCGTTTCTCACCTCAGTTGAGCTGAATCACAGACGCCTGAATCACTTGGTAAATGAAACACATGTTGAATTACACTCTCTGGAACAATTTTTGTCGGACAAAACTAACTTTTTTTTTTACTGCTAAATTGCCACCACAATAACTCGCATACAATAGGACATGTCACGTATCAGTTCAGGAGGTCAGAGTCGCAGGGTTCTCCCGCCAAGCACTAAATGATTCGGTGAGTTGGTGAACGAATCTTTTGAACAAATCTTTTTAGTAAACTGATTCTAGTGATTCAGTACATCTAAAAGAACTGCTGTGCCCATCACTACTAAATGCAAAGATGCTGGTCTCCATTTCGTGAAATTTGATATTTGACATTTTCTGTATATGCAACTTCAGTAGTTGTCGTCCTCAGTTCATGTGCTCTGAAATGCACTATACTCAATAAAAACGGTGTACTTATGTTAAAGATTTGAGTCTTTAAAGGTTTTTGCTTAGTTTAAATTTTATAAAAGTGCGTCACGGCTTAAGGACCAGGGGAAAATGTGGGTCCCAGAGTGAGACCAGTTGAGACCACTAAATGATGGCGCCTTTCTTTCATTTGACAGCGATTTTAATCTGAAGGTCACCGATCGCTGCTTCCTCTTTACCTGCAGGATTACAAACAGTTTATTGGACCACAAACAGAGTCCTCTGACTGACAAGCACGAAATCCCCGCGGCACCTGTCTTAAGTCAAGTGTCCTACATATTTAAAAGACTATTAAGGCCTTAATGAAGTGTTCAGTGATGGGTGATTGAACACACACAGTCAAATAGAGTGATTATTATTCAGTTTGCCTGGCTAAATTTACACAATACCCTTCATAAACACCTGATGCTGCAGCGTTATTTATTTATTTGTTTAAATTAAATGTCTCCCAAAAGGAATTAAACCAGAATAGCTGCAGACCTCTCATTACCATAATCTAATGCTATGTTTATGAGCTACCACCGTGCAATTTGAATACGAATGAATCCTGATAGAGATTCAGAGTCTGTCAGCGTGGAAGAGTGCCTCCCCAAGGTTCCTAAGTGCCAATTCAGACTCACAGTCAAAGCTCCAGCTGCATCCAAACACTGTACCATCCTTGCTTAAATTGGACCGACGGCGTGCCAATGAAATAAATAAACAATCAAGAATACTGAAATTACCCAAGACTATTAATCCCCGCTGGGCGGAATAATTGCTGAGGCTGCATCTCTGCCTCTTAGGCTAAAACTCGAGCTGATGTGTTTGAGGAGCGCCTCTTAAATTGAAGCTCA